GCTAAAGTATTTAAATTATTGAGTTTTATAAAAGTATAATTTATTTTGGGCTAAACGTTTATTAATTGTTTGGGCTCATTTAAACAATAGTATGTAAACAATCCTTATATACTCCTACTGGACCTATCCATTTCATTTAAGTAAGCTCAATTCTTTTATTTGAACCCTTATAGGTCAAATATTTCATGATTAAAGTCCACTTATTTATTAAGCCCAAACTCAATCTCTACCCTCTACTCTATAAATATCCCCTAAAACCCCAAAATTTTCGCACACAAAGGGGCTTAAAAATTAGATTGGGGTAAGTATTATTTTCTTTTATTCTTTTTCCTTTTTTTTTCTTTCTTTTTCTTTCCTTTTCTCCTTCCCTTGACTTTTCTTTTGTTTTCCCTTTTCTTACGTGAAACCATGTTCACGCATGGGTCTCCATGCAAGCCCCACCTTGCAGCCACCTCACGCAAGCTACGTCATCACCGGCGACCACCACCTGCCAGCCAGCAACCGCCCAGCAAGCAACCCACGGCCGGCCACCATTCGTGGTTCCCTCTCCTTCTTTCTCCTCTTTTATCCCTGTTTTAATTATTATTCCTATAATTTTATACTATGGATTTTTGATTTTAATTATTGAAATATGATTAGTATGTTTTATAATTGTGTTTTATTGATTAAAGATTATAAATTTCATATTATAAAGTATTTTAAACTTCAAATTTTATAAAGTATTAAAAGTTAGGGTTTTAATTATTTAAGTGTTGATTTTAGGGTTCTAATTTGCAATTGATTTGGGAGTTTTATATACCCATTGATTGTAAGTGATAATAAAGCCTAAAGATTATGTTTTTATGAAGTTTTGATGAGTTTTTATTAAAATAGTATTGCTGAAATTTTATTTTAAGTACAACTTTTGTGTTTTTAATGAAAAGGGGTTAATTACCCTTAAGTAGAGAAGGTTTTAATTGGTTTTAATAATTTTCAGATTTATTTGTGGGGTTTTAACCTTAAAAAGTGTGCTAGAATTTTTATATAAACACCATGAATGAGTTTTACCTCGTGGTTTTAATTACCTGCTTAAAGAAAGAGTTTTAAAGGTTTTAAACCAAAATTTCAGCTTATTAGAGAGGGTTTAAAGTGTTTAAAAGTTGCTGAAAATTTGTGTAATCAAGGGAGTAATTGAGTTTATGTATTTGGTATTATAGGAGACTTTAAGTTGAGTAATTTAAAGCATTGTGGCTAGTTGGAAAGATGATTCAAGGTATGTTCGCGTACTTAGTAATTATTTGAATATGTAAAAGCATGCTAGGCTTTGTTTAAATTAATTCCAAGTAGTATCATGGTAGGTGATGATTGGAATTTGTTGATTTGATTGATGTTGGTGAATGATTTGTGATGTGTGAATTATTTATGGTGAATTGGTGTTTGGAATGAATGTTGGTATGTTGATTATGAACCACACTTTTATAATTGGCATGTTAAAGAGCATGTGTAGTTAAACTATATGTTTAATTTGGTTTGGAATATGAAAAGGGAATTTTATTATGGTTCATATAATTTTTATTGATGCTATAAACATGAGGGAAGAGCTATTTAAGTGTCTTAGTACACAGGAATAAGTTATATTGCGGTGCTTAAGTGCACTTAAGGTGTTTCTAACACCGAGGGATAGGATTCGTAGCGCATTATGCATTTAAGGTGTCTTTGACACCGAGTTAGATTAAAAAGGGTTCAACAATTAAATTTATGTGGTCACTAATTATTCAAGAATTAAATTGGTATGTTTGATTGCTTGAATGAAGTATAATGTTTGATTGTGTTATGGTTTAAGAGTCATCACCAAGTATAATAATATGTAAAGCAACGTAAAGTGAAAGAGATTACGCACCTAAACTCTTGGAACGTATATACCTTGAGTATGACATATGGGGGGGGGGGTTATGGGGTTTTATATTTAACCATAACTTCTACTGGGAGTATAGGATGTTGTATTTTCCTTTTTATTTATTGCGCAGGACGTCCAGTCACTTTATGTGACATTTGCCTACCCGGTTAGCTCCCGGTGTAGTTTACCTCAATTTATTTGGGGCAGGGATTTGGTGGGAAACCCGTTCGATGCGTAATCAAGCTAAATAATTAAATTAGTTATTTGTTTAGTTGAGTGTTGAATGTCTTGTATGCTTGTAAACAGGTGCAACAAGGTAAGTCGTGTGATGATAGGATGAAAGCATGTTAGCGTGTTTTTATTACGCTTATGTACTCAGCATTGCTGATTGTGTGTTGTATGTTTGTTTGTCCTTGTCTTTACCTTGGCCCTACAATGACCCATTTCTAATGGTGAGTAGTGGGGACAAGTAGAGAGAAGCTTTTCAGGTGATGAAGGGCATATTCATGAAGGGGCATGAGTGAAAAGCGAATCATGCTTAGTTTCTATAGGAATATGATGTGTTTTATTTGCTTTGAGTATTATTTATTTTATTTTGTTCATGAGGCTAACACAAAGATTTTTATTATTGTTTGGTTTTAAGGGCCTACAATGGTTTCAAGTTGTAGGTTGACTTTGTTTGACTTTATTTGACTTTGTTTGATTTTATTTTCGTTTGGTTTGACTGTTTAAGTTGACTTGTTTTTAAACGGTTTTAAAAGAGAGTCTTCCGTTGTGTGTCTTTGATATTTGCCTTAGCCGTTTTCACGGTGGCGGTAATGCCTTAGATTTTCCTATTTCGTATTTTAAAAAGGGCAAAACAGGTATTTTAAAGAAAAGGAATTTCTAGGGTGTTATAAAGTAACCCCTGACCAACCGAGTAACCCTAACCAAGTAACCCCTGACCGACCGAGTAACCCCTGACCAAGTAACCCCTGATTGACCGAGCAACCCCTTTCCTTCATCTTCTTCTTCTACAATTGATCTCCTTCAAAACTACTTCGATGGCGCCGAAGAAGACGACGACAACAAATAACCCCAACTCCAACTCCACCAAACCAACCCAGAAAACCCAACAAAATGACAAAGAAGGAGCAAAAAAATGGGTGAGATAATTTGTCCTAAAGCAGACTACAACAACAAATTCTTGCGCTATAGGTATGAAGATGTTTGTGATTCAGTCTGTTGCTGATCATGTCTTAGATCCATATGCCCAATTTGAGGTCGAGAAATCCGAGACTTATATATGATGGTCTTGTCCATCTTAAATCCCGTCACAATAAATCACACGTTGTGTAAATCGCACGTAAAAACCCTAAAAATGGATTTGGGGTTTATTTTCGAATTACTTGATGTTTGTGTAAATTTCTTGCATGAATTTGTATGTATGTTGTACCAATCATCCTCATGGAAGGTAGGAGAGATAAAAGCAAGAGAAGGGGGAATGCAGTGAGAAGTGTGAAAAAATAAATAAATATATTGTGGCTGACCACATATGAAAGTTTGTAAAAATTCTATTGTCAATAAAAAAGATAAGTTTTTTTTGAAAAGAATCATGAATTATTTTATGTATACTTTTTTATCCTAAACAAATCTATCCAATCTTATCTAACGTGGCATATAATCTAATCACAATAATATCTATTTGTCTCCTACATTACTCAACACTTGGCGAAAAACTATAATGTCAAGTGTCGGTGTCTCGTGACCTAACTGCTAGACCGACTTTATTTATTAATGATAATATAATATGATTTATATATTAGAATAGATTAGATTTGATCAAACATAAATATGATCAAACTTTCGAATTCCATACAAAATAAAATTTGTTGTCCAATGTATACTCCTACTTATTTTTTTTATGAATTCCATACAAAATAAAATTTGTTGTCCAATGTATACTCCTACTTATTTTTTTATTAAAAAAAAAAAAAAAAAAATCTTAATCTTAAATCCTAGCAAATTTAATGGTGTGGAGGCCATGCATACTACGAGTATATACTACTACCAAGAAAGAGGCCCACACCTATTATGTCACCATGCTGGGCTATTCACACATTCACACATCACAAATTCACAATACTAAAACATCTAAGAGCACAACCACACAAACAAAAATTGAAAATAAATAAATAAAGTAGAAAAAAGAATGATAACGTGTATAACGTGGGGAATTATTATTTACAAGTATAATAAAGATTAAAGATCCATTTTATGATTGAAGGATAATAAAACAAATCACAATTATTGTACCCAATTCTAACAGCTGAAGTACTACACATAACACATATGATTTACTATATTAAAATAAATATTATGAGTTCTATATTCTCATGATATTTTAGGTAATTTAATTAAATTATTTCAATAAATTCCCATTTAATATTTACAAAGTTTATCAAATTTAAAATTTGTTATATAAACCCGAGTGTATATACGGGGTGCCTCTCCTATCACAGGAGGGGTGAGGATCGGATCCCGGTCATACTGGGAAGAGATGGAGGAACTAATAATCCCTCTACTAGTCCATTCCTTGATCTTCAATATCAACCAAATATGATGTATTATTTTTTCTAAAAAAAAAAATAAAAAAAAAATTGATGTATTGTACAACAACATACTTCTAATATCAAATCTCATTAACTCCATAGACCATTTTTTTACGGAGTACAACTGAACAAAATCCTGTCTACAATATTATCCTTCACAACTTGTTTGTTTAGAGGGATAAAAGAAGGGGGATAGGATAAAAGAGGAGGAATTTAACAAGTCTTTTGTTTGTTTAGAGGGATGAAGATTAGGAGGGGGATAAAAAAGGGAGTTATCCCTCCAAATTAATAATTAAGGGGTGGTATAAGGGATGAGAATTAAGTTTAATGGATAAAAGACATTTCTACCCTTAATAAAAGAGAAAGAAGAGAGTGAAGAAAGGATAATAAAGGTAATTTTGTATTTTTATTAGTTATTCCAATCTAATCCCAACAATTTCCAAACAATAAAATACACTATTTTTTTCCTTATCCCATCTATTAGTTCCCTGACTTCCATCTTCTTATTCCACTTTCTCATCTCACTAAAGCACATTCCTCCTACCAAATGCCCCGCTAGTTCTTTACTATTTCACTCCATTAAAAAGCACAAAAATTTCCAAATGGTAGAAGGAAAAAATCTACAAACGACGACTTTTAGCAGGAAGAGTCTAACAAGTTTCATGGTACAGTAAAATTTAATCTCCATGGTTTCTCTTTCTCTCTCTTCCATCAACAACTTCTCTGGAAATTTCTCACACCTTTCTCTCTCTTCTTGACTCTTCTTCCTTACTTCTCTTTCTCTCTCATCATCTATCTTTTCCACTATTACTATCATCTAATACCCTTTATTTCATAGCAAGACATCAAACCCCAAAAACCCTGAATTTTTCTCTCAATTTGTAAGATGTTTACACGGTCAAAGGAGAGAGAAAATCAGAGGAAAACCAGTTTGACTCTGCTAGGGTTTCTAATCTTAGCATGGGTTTCTTCAATTGAATCCAGATTTGTTGTGGAGAAGAACAGTTTGAGGGTTACGTCACCTGATGACGTCAAGGGTACTTATGATAGTGCTATTGGAAACTTTGGGATTCCTCAATATGGTGGTAGTATGGCTGGGACTGTAATTTATCCTAAGGAAAATAATAAAGGGTGTAAAGATTTCAGTGATTTCAGCATTTCATTCAAGAAGAAGCCTGGTCAATTACCCACCTTTGTTCTTCTCGATCGTGGAGGTGATATATTACTTCAATCTTGTGAATTATTTGTTGTTTAATTGATTTGTTTTTGACTTGTTGATTATTGGGTTTTGATCTTTGTGTTATAGTTGTTGAAATTTGATTGTTGATTGAATTAGTTGAAGTGGAGTTGAATTTTTTTAGACTTAAATCACTTAATTGGTTGAAATTTCATGAGTGAGATTGGACTAGTTTTGTTGACTAATGTGTTGTTGGATGAACTTCTGAGCTACCCTTTGCACGCCGGCATTGTTTGATTGAATTTGTGGTAGAATCTGTAGTTAAAAGGAAGAGATGGGTTTTTGTGTGCTTAGTTGAGGGTTACTCATTGAAGGATGGATGTTTGTATGGAAAAATGATTTATGAGATAGACTTACAATAATTTATTGTGAAATGGTTAAGATTGTAGTGACATTTTGTTTAAAGGGTGACTGATAAGTTTTATGGCCTGTTTGGTAGGTGGTGATTATGGTAGTAATGAGAATGGAAATGTATGTAATTTTTTAGGATATTCCCATGTCAGTGCCCATGGTAATGCTAACTCGTCCCAAAGTATCATATTTATTCATATATTTCATTGTCATTCATTTAACTTTAGTAAGTGGCAACTGGTAATGATATTTAATCTGAAAAACATATACTGAAGGATGGTGTTGCATTACCATAATGTCCATAAAGATTTGCATGACACTTTCCATGCAAGATTACATTAAAATTCATTCCCATTATTGTAATTTATTCCACCTACCAAAATGCCCGTTAATATCTTTGAATATGTTATTGTAAGCTTGTTAATATCTTTTAATAAGTTACCATATGCTTGCCTCACATTAGACACGTCCCTACCCTCAATGCAACATTTGATCAAGGTTGTGCATTGTACATGTAGGGGTTCCATTTATTGTTAGAGTATTAGTGTTTTTCTTGTTCAAAATATTAATGCTTTTGTTTTTGTCTAGATTGCTTTTTTGCTTTGAAGGTGTGGAATGCACAACAGGCTGGTGCTGCTGCTGTCCTTGTTGCAGACGATGTTGATGAAGCATTGATAACCATGGATACACCTGAAGAAGATAGTGTATCCGCAAAGTACATAGAGAACATTACCATTCCCTCTGCCCTTATAGAGAGAAGCTTTGGTGACACACTGAAGAAAGCTGTTAAAAAGGGGGACATGGTTAATGTGAATCTTGATTGGAGAGAAGCTGTTCCTCATCCTGATGATCGAGTAGAATATGAGCTATGGACAACTAGTAATGATGAATGTGGTGTCAAATGTGAGATGTTGATGGGATTTATGAAGGAATTTAAGGGTGCTGCTCAGATACTTGAAAAGGGTGGTTATACCCAGTTCACACCACATTATATCACATGGTATTGTCCTCAGGCTTTCACAATAAGCAAACAGTGCAAATCCCAGTGCATCAATCATGGAAGATACTGTGCACCGGATCCTGAGCAAGATTTCAGCAGAGGCTATGAGGGTAAGGATGTTGTGGTTGAGAACTTGAGGCAGCTCTGTGTATTTAAAGTTGCAAATGAGACAAGAAAGCCCTGGGTTTGGTGGGATTATGTCACTGATTTCCAAATTAGATGTCCCATGAAGGATAAGAAGTATAATAAGGATTGTGCTGAAGGGGTGATCAAGTCATTGGGTAAGTATAATGGGTCAATGGATCAACTCATTTTTCTTAAGGTTCTGCTGAAGATGATGGCTTAGTGTTAATTTTTATCTGCAGGAATTGATCTGAAAAAGATCGAGAAATGTATGGGAGATCCAGAAGCTGATTCTGATAATCCGGTCCTGAAAGAAGAGCAGGAGGCACAGGTGTGCACTTGGACACTTTCCTGTGTCTTTGGAACTAGTGTTATGTGACTATGTTCAATTAACTTGTGCCGGTTTTTCAGTTATCTAATTTTGATGTGATAACTTTTGTTTAGATTGGCAAAGGAGCTAGGGGTGATGTAACCATATTGCCCACTCTTGTTGTTAACAATCATCAATACCGAGGTGAGTCTTTGTCTATCTGCTGTTTTCAGCTTTTCACACTATGATTACTGATCTTGTCCCCCTGAAGTCTAAAGTTTGAATTCTGAACAATATGACTACAGGGAAGTTGGAGAAAGGAGCTGTATTAAAGGCAATTTGCTCTGGTTTTGAAGAAACTACTGAACCTGGTGTTTGTTTGAGTGATGGTAAGGTCCTGTGGTCATGGTGTTTTGCAGTTTGTACCTAGCAGTAGAATTTTTTATTCATTGATAGTTAAATCTGCCTTAAAAATTCTCCTTCTTTGTATGCCAGAGATTGAAACAAATGAGTGTTTGGATAACAATGGTGGCTGTTGGGAAGACAAAGTCGCTAATGCTACTGCTTGCAAGGTATCAGTGGTATCTCTTTGCTTATAATCTCATTCATCCCTATCTTCCATACAATTCAGTGCTTAGCTGTTTTTCCAACCCTATTTTATATAGGATACATTCCGTGGAAGAGTATGTGAATGCCCCCTCGTAAATGGCGTGCAGTTTCAAGGGGATGGCTACAGTTTATGCAAACGTATGTCTTTGATCTTGACTTCTTCATAAGCATATATGTGTTCACTAGATTCTTATCCACAGTAGGAATTTATGTTGTGTATGCTTGGCAGCAATTGGTTTCATTAGCTCAAGCTAACATCCCAAGAGAGTAGACAATGGATGTCTTCCTTATAATATCTGCATTCACTGAATTATATATCTGGTAGTTTGACTTTCATTCTCATTATTCCAAGCTTCAGAATTGTCAAATCATATAGTGGAATGGTAGTTAAGTTATCAGTCTTGACCTTGAAGAATCTGTCAGGCTAACAAGTAGCCTTATATAATCCATGGCTCGACGATCTGTCTGTATTATTTGATAATTTGATGCCATAAAAATTTTGCTCTAATGCTATCTAGGCTATTATGCGGTCATGTGGTAACTGCATATTTTTGGTGTGATTATCATTCCTTCCCTGCCTGATATTTATATATTAGGCTAACCAAGATGATTTTGATGCAAATGGTAATGGCTGGTGCTGACCCAAACTAATTGTCAATCGAAATTGCTGCTATTTGTCCCACTGTTGGATGCATTTTATATATTCTGTTAAATTTTAAAATCAGGACACTTGGGTTCTGATTTAAAAAAAGGATCCCCCCTTCAGAATTGGCCATTTGGGTATGACTTATGATGTGCATTAAGTGTTGTCTATATTCTATAATTTTGTTAAAATATTTTCCCCTTTTCCATGAAATGAATAAATCAAATATATAACATTTAAACTCAGTTAAGATATGTAAATGTAATAAATGTTATAAATCTGTTCTGTTATTCCCCTTGTAAGTCTCTTGTAAGTACCTGCTGGTTTTTCCCTAGCATTGTATCAAATTACATGTTTAAACTTATTATCAAATTATACATGGACAAAGCTGAGTTGTTTCACACATGTGACCAATGTCTATTATTTGGCGATTTTTCCTAATGGAGTGCTGCTGCACTTCTTTTCTGTATGATGTCATCAGTTGGGCACATAAGCAAGCAATGAAATAATTTAGAAAAGAAGCTAGTGAAGTAGTGAATTATCAGCTCATAATGGACAAGGGGTTATCAAAGTAAGCCATACTTCAATTGATATTCTTTCCTAGTAGGTCTTCCAAGTAAAGGCCTGATCTATGTAAATAAGCTGTCAAAAGAAAATTTGTATCTAACCAGCGGCCCACTAAGGATTTCTCTTTCTAGTTATTGCTCACAGGGAGTCTGGATGACTGCTTGTCACTTCTACCAAATTAAGAGCTAAATTTGTTTAGTAAAGATGAATATATTATTCATTTATATGTTGATGATCATGTAGATATTACAACCCTATGATATTGTTCTGCTGATGTGAACAATGAAATTTGGAATGATTAATCAAACATGATTCTTATCCATTTAAACCCCCCCTCCCAGTCTCTTCATTATCTTGACTCAATATTATGCTTCTGATGCTGTATCGATCTTCTTCTTAAGTCTTTATGCTCTATGATAAGGTTTTTCTCTTTTTCTAATGAAGAAGATAAAAAAAAAATGAATCAAAGAGTCAGAACATGTGAGGTTTATTAATTGTTACTATGAAATCTTCAGGCATGCAATACAATTCTAAATCAAGTAACCTGATATTGGCATAGGAGGTTGGTGCACCGATACAAAGTAGTTAACTTGCACCCACAGCTTAAGATTGCCCCCCCCCCCCCCAACCCCACCCCAACAGCTGGAGTCAAGTGATAACCTGAAAATTCATGAGTTTCTTAAGCAGCCTGTGACATTTCATTAGAAGATAATTTTACATGTTAGCTTAAGAGCTTGATACCTTTGGGTTAAGCCTTTTTGTATATGGGTGACAAGATTTTATTTATAATATATATTTAATTACAAAAAAGAAGAGCACTTTCAGATGCCATTTATATCTTTTCTATGATCTAGTTTTGATATCTTTGCATTGATTTATACATGTAGATCTTGTAAGAGAAGTGGTAAAATGTCACAGGGAGTGCACCTGGCGGCTTGTTTTGATGTCATTAAGCTAACAGTGTTTATTTTCTGTCAGCAAATGGACCTGGTAAATGCAAGATAAACCATGGAGGCTGCTGGCATGAATCTCGTCATGGGCAGACATTTACTGCTTGTGTGGTAAGTCAGTTGTGGCAAATAATTATGGCAAATAGCTTCAGAATCTTTTTCTGACTTCTATGCTTGCAGGATCATGAGGATACCTGCAAATGTCCTCCAGGGTTCAAGGGTGATGGTGTGAATAGCTGTGAAGGTAAATTGTCTCTTATCTTTTTATGCTCGAAATGCATACTAATTATAATGTATGAAATCCTTGGTGATATTATCTTCATATTGTCACTGTAGGTAGTGAATCAAGACCTTGTTTTAGTTTTAATAGTGTATTTATTGTTTGATTGTATTATGTACCACAAAGAAGAGGAAAGGAGGAAGTAGGTACCATAGAAACTGGACCTTGTTTGGTTCAACAAGTCCAATTCCTTGAGTGAAGAGCAATTTCATGAAAGTTTATGCAATTAACCCCATTCATGGATTTTAAATATATTTCTGTATTACATTTCAAAAAAACTGGTAACGAAAGTGGAAGATTTGTGATCAATGGGATTTTAACCGAAGCCATGGGAGGCCAAGGGTTAAGAATGATATGAAGAATTTGGGTTTATAAGAGTATATAGCACTTGATTGAAGGGATTAAGGCTTTGGTGGTGTTTATGTTGTATATGCAAATGTAACTATTATTGATTTTAGAGAACTAAAACTGTAACTTAATTTTTCTTTTGTAGCTAAGCAAGTTGTGTTGATATACGGGAACTTATTTGGGGAGGTACTTGAATTTAAGCTACCAACCAATCTATGTTTCTCTACTTCAATGGAATTGAATATTCCCTGCAGTCACTTACACCCAACCAATCAAGTACATAATTGATAGGTGATTGATTAAGAATAAACGTCTTAATCTAAAGTCCAAATGTTTTCTTTTCCCATTTCACCCTTCTTCCTTACCCCACTTGTTAGACCCTCTTAAATCCACATATTCAAAGGGCAACAAATTGATCATTGATCTACTTTTCATTTGATCTCCTTTTTCCCTTGGTCCCTATTTCTACCTGAATTGAAAGGTCTTTATAGAACAATGGGAGTATAAAAAGCTAAATGAGACAAAGGGAGTAAAAAAGCCAAGTGCTTCTCTGTGAAGAAAGGGGTTTTGTAAATAATTTGCTGCTAGTAAGAAACCTAAACTTTCTAGATGCTCGTCCATTAGCTCTATTAAGATGTATTAAATTCGTTTGGTCTGTAAAATAGAAAATCACTGGTCACTGGTGGCAACTTATTAATAATATAATTTGTTTGCAAATTTTCAGGATAAATGGAAAAAAAATTTGTTCATATATTTTCTCCTTATTCTTTTAAATTGTGGTAATTTCCATATACTGGATCTGTGGGTTATCTTGCTGGTGATGTCTACTTTTTCTTTTCTAAAATTCAAGAACAATACACATGACCAACTAGGTTGGGGGGGGGGGGGTTTGGGGGCATATGTATTTAAGTACGTAGAGGGATAATCTACGTGGCCCAAGGGGACAAAAACATAAGCTTAATTAATCGTAAATTATACCAATTGGTTGTTGGTGCAGTGGTGATTGGGGTAGGGAGGATCGCTTGTTCGATCCCTCACAACAACAATTGGGAGGGGACTGGAACCTAACCACGCAGAACTGAGCCCCGAATACGGATTAGCCCAACGGGTGAACCGGGTGAATCACCAAAAATAAAAATTAATTGTAAATTATGAGAAGGCAAGTATCACAGTGTAGCATTCTCACATTTAGTACAAATTGGACATGCTTGACAATCAAGTTACTCTCCTTGTCTCACCGTCAAATTTTGTATGTCATTTGAGGTTTCTTTTCCCGTCACCAAAGATTCTGTAATTGCTAACAGTCAAATTTCACATACTGAGCCGAGTTGGCTTGTTTTTATCTTTGCAGAAATCTCATATCATATTTCATTCCTCAAGGTTTTTTTTTTTTTTTTTTTTTTTTTTTTTTTTTTTTTTAAATAATGGTTTCTTTTTCCTCAGAGACTGTTAATATTATGATTTAGGCAGTGTTATGTACTAATGTTTAATTAGTGCAGGACAAGTTAACAATAAAAATTTTAACGAGAAAACAATAAAGAACAGCAACAAAAGACATAAAGAGTTATGTGATTTGGTTGATGAGACCTAGTTAATTGGTGGGGGATTCAAGAGCTTTTATTAACCTTCAATGGAGGAAACAAGAGTATTACAAGGAGTCTTTCATTATTGGCTTAATCAGTTTATTACCTAATGGTTCCCTTTTGTAACATAAGTAAATCATAAGGAAGCTCTAAATTAATATCCAAGTAATAATCCAATAGCTGCACAAGCAACAATAAGGCAAGTCATGGAAGTAGGAAACAAAATCACACAATTTCTTGACGTGATGTGTTGCCTATGATACGGATGTGTGTGATTTTTTTCTCCTCCTGGCTAGTTTAGGAAAGATGGACATTCTTCAAGGAATGGAGTATTTAATGGGATTTAAGAGTAGTTAATACGTTGTAATTTTTATAACACCAATATGTTGATAGAATGCATGGGAATTACTATTTAAACAAGATGTCACTGGAAATGTATGAAATATGGCGGTGAACTAAATCATTACGTGTGTTACAAATATGAGCAAGTATTATTATTTGAAAATATTGAATTGGTACTTAATATTTAATGAGTCGATTATGAATTGTTACATGGGTACATGAGGTAAAATGAAGAGTCCGAGTAGCATAGGCTCTGGCTTTATGTAATTGTTGGGACTTGGGAGCTGTTTTATATTCTAACCTCGATGATTCCAAGAAAATAGCTTATTGGATCATTAATTTTTTTCATAATATAAGTACAACAGTTTTGTAGCTGGGTACCTTGTTCTTTTTCAATCTCTGATCTACAAAATTCTGTCTCTGTAAAAAAAACCGAGCTAACCAGGGCCAGAAGTTGTAGACAACAATATTTTTATGTTGGGTTTTATTGTGAACATTATGGGGAACTAACGTTATGTCTGGAGCACAATTGAGAAAATTTGCTTTTTTTTTTTTTTTTTTTTTTTTTTTTTTTTTTTTTTTTTTGTTTTTGGGCCAGAGTATGTGCAAAAGATGAAGGCAATGTCTTTTGTCTTTTTTTTTTCTTCCTTATGTCTTTACCTGATCCCTTGGCAGATAGTCTACAAATCACGTTTCCTGTTCTTATTCTACATTAATCAAGATTATATTTTTTCATTGCTGATGAACTGTATTAGCTTTTTATTGATAATATTGATTATGCAAGTTTGACCATGTCTATTTTTTTCTTCTTTATGTCATATGTCATGAAAATTCTCGACTGTTCTGGCTTGCTTACGTTGTCTTTTACATAGTTTTATATCCTTCTAATGGTGCACTGTTCTTTTTCCAGACATCGACGAATGCAAAGAGAAACTAGCTTGCCAGTGCTCTGATTGTAGCTGTAAGAATACATGGGGTAGCTATGACTGCTCATGCAGTGGGGATCTGTTGTACATGAAGGACCATGATACTTGTATAAGTGAGCTGATTAACCTTGCTGCTTGGTTTGTTTAAATAATTTGCTATACCTATGGCTCACCTTTATTGTCATTCTGTGTCATATAGGCAAATCGGCTGCACAGGCAAAATCAACCTGGGCTGCTGTATGGCTCAGTTTGATAGGTCTGGCTATGATTGCTTCTGGGGGCTACCTCTTTTACAAGTACAGGATCAGGGTAAGTGAAGTACTTAACTAAGTTGCTTTTTTTTTTTTTTTTTTTTCCTCTCTTTTAAATATGGTGAGCTGGTGACATTCGTTTCCAAATCCCAAATTTTAATAAGCAGTAAACTACAGATCATTTAGTAAAAGATTTTGTCATATCCTTAATTATTATGGCTTATGAGAGGTTGGGATAATGTGTCCATTATTTTCAGGCTAAGAGATTAAAATAAGCTAAGTTGCTTGGATGACAAAATTACATTAAGTTACTTGGCCAACTTAAACTGTTTCCCTTGTAATTTTGACACTTATTAGGAAATTCAAAATTTCTAGAAATTATCTTTGATGGATTTTACAGTGGTCGTAATCATACACAAGTCTTATGCCAGCCCTTATATTCCTCTATTAGACAAGCCTAACATATATTTATTGCTACTTGCAGCAATACATGGATTCAGAAATTAGGGCTATTATGGCTCAGTACATGCCGCTGGATAGCCAGACAGAAATTCCGAATCATTCTGATGACCGTGCATGAGAACAAGTGCTCTAGATCGGAGGGGATCTGGGCTTGTTTATATGCCCTTCCCTATTCCTGTGGATTTGAGTGTTCAACACCTCTTTGTAAATTATGCTGGTGAATAAGATTACCATAGGATTTTTTCCCATATATTTATTTGGACCGTGACATGTAGTGTTGTAGAGGGCAGCGTTGCCGAGTGGAATTGACGAAATTGCCAAAAGGATTGTGCTGACTACCGGTTTCTCTGTTCAATTAGAAATTCTGTATCTACTTAAACTCTTATGTTTTCATTGGGTTTTCCAGCATTTTACTCGTATTAGGGTAAGGATAAGGCCGTATTAGATTGGAACCTCACACGAGTTGACCAGGCATGGGTAATTATCAGAGTGGTGGCAAGGATATGGAAATCCTCACCCTCAAAAGTCCTCTTAGTGGAGATAGAAATTAAAATTTTATGGTATGAGAAGCAAATTCTTCTATCATCTCTAGCTTTAAATTATTTTTCTAGTTTTGTTGGATTGACAGTTATTGCGTTAACTATGATTTACGTGTTTGAAATATTTTTCCCACAAAACTCTCTTAAACATTATGCCTGGGCCTGATTCATGCGCTTCATGGGAGAAGAGATGTAATATTAAAATAGGGTAGTTCGTAAAAATTGGAAGAGTAACACTTAAAATAGATGACCGTAGTTGGTTAGTGTAGCGCTTAAAAATACGAAAGGACTATTTAAAAATGGATTCCTCTTGGCATTTTTTTAAGAGTTGATTTTTCTAATATTGCTTTTCTTCTTTTATGGTAAATTACTATTCTTTACCCAACTACATAATCCACATTAGAGCTGTCATTTCTTTGAGTATACAAGTCGGAATTAAGTTGAGTCAAATAAGTGTTTCACCCTCTAGGTGTAATCTCTTGAGCGCGAAAAAGATAGACTAGCAAGTTAACACCTTGCTAATTAATTACGAGTCAAACTCAAATCAGGTCATGTTGGTAAATCTAGCATCCAAATCAAGTTAAGGTTTGTGTCAAGTCAAGTTTGATTTGGGTTATGACAAGTCACCTTTTTGACTGTATGTTGGGTTCAATTCGAGTCAAATTCAGGTTGAGTTCTCTTTCACGCTTGGGGTTGTATCAAGTTGTACTTGGAGCGGGTTTATAGATGGTAAATTCGAGTCCGATTTACTTCTCCTATGCGAGGCATGCCATCGATTTGATCCATGCGCTGACCCCATCTCTCACCGCAAATGCAAACTCATAGTTGTCGAGGCATAGTCAAGCCAAATCCCAATTACGCCCTTGTGTTAGAATCCAACCTCTTTGTTATGTATTCTTCTTTATTTTCCTTATATTTTCCTTATGTAATGTCTCTTTAGTCTTTCTTTTTATTTTTCTAGACCCTAGGGAGAATTATTGTGTTACTGTCATTTCAACGTTCACTTGTAATTCTCTACTAATGCAATATAAAGCTCTTTAGGGAGCGAATGGTTATTCAATCAAAGCTCTCTACCCCGTTGTTATTGCTTTAAGACTTGTGTGTTGTTTAAGCCTTTATAGATATTGTGCTTGCCTTGTTTTAAAGCATCCCCCACCAAACCAAGAGACCCTAGAGACGTCCTCATTTTCGTCGGTTCCGCTTGTGCCCGCTTCGAAGTATCGGCCGTCACAAGCCCCGACTCCGCACTCGTTGTTCTCGTGTGCCCTCTTGAGACACCGTAGGTCCGTGTTGCTGTGTGCTCACGAACCTCCTTGCTTTAGGCTTGCGCCCTTGTCGCCAAAAGACGAGAGCGCGCCGCACGATCTGGTGTTGAATCACTCGGACCGTGATAGTTTGGTATCAGAGCCAGGTTTGCCGTAGAGATGGCAGAAGAAGGAGAGATGCATGAATACACATTCGAGGAAAGACTTGCTTGAAGAAAGGCTGCCCAAACTCGAGGATATTGTAATAAAACAAGCCGACCAAATAGAGAGGCTTGTCGCTACTGTGGATGGGTTAACGGAGCAACTTAACTTCGTGCAAGGCGTCGCTGATGAAGCACAAGATAAATGTGCAACCTTAATGCATGCCCAGAGAGGGCTCGGGGGAAGTGGAGGTGCCAAGATAAAACCTCCCAAGCCCCGGACCTTCAATGGCACGAGAGATTCAAAAGAAGTCGATAATTTCATTTTCGACATGGAGCAATACTTTCTGGTCTGTCAGTTGGAGAATGAGTTAAAAGTTGATACCGCCACTATGTATTTGGTGGATGATGCAAAGCTTTGGTGGCGCACCAAGTACACCGACATCCAAGCTAAGAGGACGTCGGTGGATACTTGGGAGGATCTGAAGAAAGAGCTGATGGCCCAATTTTATCCCGAGAATACTGAGTTTGTTGCTCGCACCAAGCTCGCTGCTTTGCAGCATAAGGGTTCCATCCGGGAGTATGTCAAAGAGTTTTCAGCGTGCATGTTGGATATCCACAACATGTCCGAGGAAGATCGCCTATTCAACTTTGTGCGTGGTCTTAAGGAATGGGCCCAAAGAGAAATTTGGCGCCAAAAGATTGATACTTTATCGGGAGCCATCGCTGCAGCCGAAAGGTTGATGGACTACTCCTCAGAGAAAGGACAAGGTTTGAAGAAAGGGAATAGCGGGCCGACACCGAACCCTCCTAGGAACTCCGGACATGGCTCGCAAGTGAGCTCCAACAACTCGAACAATAGATACAATAGGAGTGGGGGAGAAGACTCTCGGAAGAGTGGAGCTTCTTCCTTCTCTAGTAGAGGAAGCACCCCTAGTTCATCTTCGGCAGCCAGGCCATTGACGTGTATCCTTTGCAGAGGACCGCACAAGTGGTTTGAATGTCGACACAAGGGAGAAATTGACAATCTCCAAAAGAAACTGTCCTCCATGTCCTTAGAAAACCCCGAGGGTGAAGAAGCCGATGAGGTAGAACCTAGTGAAGGAGAACATTCCAGACTGGGGGCCATTCGCATGATGTGCGCTATGGGAAGAGAAGGCTCTGAGGGCCAACCCAAAAACTCTGGATTGATGTATGTGAATGCGTTGGTAAACGGAAAGGAAACTCGTGCCATGGTGGATACCGGTGCTACCCACAACTTCATTTCAGAAAAGGAGGCAAAAAGACTTGGGTTGAAGCTCCTACCAGAAGGAGGCAGTATGAAAGCGGTGAATTCAGTTGCCAAACCGATCCACGGCGTTGCCAAGAAAGTAACAATGAAGCTGGGAGATTGGAGCGGACAGGTGGACTTTACTGTTGCGCCAATGGACGACTTCAGCTTGGTGCTCGGCATGGACTTCTTACACTTTAGTAAGGCAGTCCCGATGCCGCATCTTAGATCTATTCTGGTGCCCGGGCAGCAACCATGTCTCCTCCGAACCTGTGAATCGGGAAAAGGGTCGAAAGGGCCCCTCCTTTCAGCAATGCAATTGGAGAAGGGGTTGAAGAGAAACGAGCCCACGTTCCTAGCAACACTTTCCACGAAGGAAGATGAAGCAAGTGGAGACTTTCCGCCTGCAGTTGCCGAGCTACTATCAGAGTTCCAGGATCTCCTCCCGAAAGACCTACCAAAAGTTCTCCCACCTAGAAGGACAGTGGACCATGAGATTGAGCTGGTTCCAGGGGCGAAACCCCCAGCACGAAGCCCTTATCGCATGGCTCCCCCAGAACTGGCTGAACTCCGGAAACAATTGGAGGACTTGCTTGAGGCAGGCTTCATCCGCCCATCAAAGGCTCCTTATGAGGCTCCTGTGCTTTTTTAGAAAAAACAAGATGGAAGTCTTCGATTGTGTATCGACTACCGAGCATTAAATAAGGTTACGGTGCGCAATCACTACCATATCCCTTTGGTGGCGGATTTGTTCGATCAGTTAGGGGATGCAGTGTACTTTACAAAGCTAGACTTGAAGTCTGGCTATCACCAAGTTCGTATCGCCGAAGGAGATGAACCAAAAACTGCTTGTGTGACGAGATACGGGGCATACGAATGGCTAGTCATGCCCTTAGGCTTGACGAATGCACCTGCTACGTTCTGTACTCTGATGAACCAAGTATTTCGAGAGTACTTAGACAAGTTTGTGGTCGTGTACCTCGATGACATCGTTGTCTACAGCAAGACTTTGGAGGAGCACCTCGAGCACCTAAGATTGGTCTTCGAGAAGCTGAGAGAACATCACCTTTTTGTGAAACGAGAAAAGTGTGCCTTTACGCAGGAAGAAGTCGGATTTCTTGGACACTTTGTGGGGAAGGGTCGATTGAGGATGGACCCAAAGAAGATATGTGCTGTTCGCGATTGGCGGGATCCCAAGAACCCCTCTGAACTGCGATCCTTTCTAGGACTGGCGAACTATTATAGAAGATTCATTAAGGGATACTCATAGATCGCAAGTCCCCTCACCGACCTATTGAGGAAAGATTGTCGTTGGAAATGGTCAGGGCCCCAGAAGGAAGCTTTCCAGAAGTTGAAAGAAGCAATGGTGAAGGAGCCGGTCCTTGCCCTTCCAGACATCACCAAACCATTCGTGGTCGAGACGGATGCTTCGGATTTTGCTTTAGGAGGAGTGATCCTCCAAGAAGGACATCCTATTGCATTCGAAAGTAGGAAGCTGAATAATGCGGAGAAAAGGTATGCGGCACAAGAAAAGGAGCTACTAGCCATTGTGCACTGCCTAAGAGGATGGAGGCACTACTTGTTGGGGTCAAAGTTTACCGTCCGCACAGACAACACCGCCGGCGAGTCACTTTCTCACCCAACCCAAGCTGACAGGAAAACAAGCTCGGTGGCAGGAGGACTTAGCTGAGTTCGACGTGGAGTTCACCTATAGAACGGGATCCAGCAATAGAGTTGCCGATGCCCTGAGTAGGCGGGCCGATCTTGCTGCGATGTACAAGTTAGCGCCAATGACTGCAAGCAGCATTGCCACATCCGTTAGAGATCAAGTTCGTGCTTATCTCCCAGATGATCCTGTTTCGGGGTTTTCTGATTTCATGTGGGAGAGTTACAATTCCGAGACTGGAACCGGACGCCTGTACCTGCAAAACAAACGGATGCTCCGGATGATTGGAGATCCGCCTCCGACGGTCAAGTTAGTACTTGATTAAGGAGTAATTAATGCGGAAATTAAAGTGATTGGGTCTCTCTAGGTGAGAGTGTTTAATGTGTGTAATCTGCTTTTTAGCGTGTAATCTCTCTTAATGATGATTAAGGGAGGTATTTATAACCTCGGGAAACGTGTCAGTCTAGGTTTAGGTTAACCTTGGGTTGATTGGGCTTCCCTCGGAAGTTGGGCCTAGGTGACCGGTTATCCCAGGTGTTATGGGAAGGACACGTGTCGTGTCGTAATTGGTCCATAGTGGACGGATCATTGCTTGACACGTGGAAGGCTCCTATTGGCCCATGTGACGGACACATGGCGGAACCTGATTGGTCCACTTGTCAGATGGTGATTGGTGGGGAAAA